ACCAAAGTTTGGCCCAAGGGTTGTTGGCTTCCACCTACTAGAGAGACTTTTGTGGTAACATCATCAAACTCTATTGCTTGCAAATTTTCCTGTGATGTTCACTTCAGCCATATTTGAAAGGTTATGAACAGCCACCGAAGATACAACAATTGGTCACTATTCATCTGGAGCAAAAGAGAAAGAAGGAAACCCAAGAATCCGAGAAGAAATAAGACTATGGGACTAATTGTCTCCATGAATCACTGCCTCCTTCATCATGAGACCAGAAGAATTAGATGATGCCCAGCTACTGAATTTTCTGATCAGGATCTCAGTAGATGGATCCTGATAGAAATGGAGAAACACATAGAATAGAGCCTGAAATTCTCAAAGAATTCAGACTTACTGGATCCATTGATGTGGGGGGAAATCCCTGATATTATTGCCCTGGATATTCTTTAAACCTTGAAACAGAATTATCCCCTGAAGTCATCTTTAAACTAAATAATAACTGAGTTCAAAAAATGAAAGACTATCACGTTTGAGTACTATGCTCTTAAAAAAAAAATTACCTACATTAAGACCAAATGGGTAATAGACTTCTAAAGTCATCTAAAGCATACATTAGAAGTTTAGGGGCATAAAGCAACTTGAACAGAAATAATGAGAATGTTGACATAATGTGAAGACTATAACCAAAGTCATTAAAAATTTTAGAAATTGCTGAATGAGAGCGTGCTTTGCCATGTATATTTTTACCAAAACAAAACAAAACCCAAAAAAATATTTTAAAAAGAGAGAGTTGTTGTTGTTGTTGTTAAGTGCTGTCAAGTTGGTTCTGACTCATAGTGGCCCCGTATGGGGTTTCCAAGGAAACTGCCAACCATGTGGTTCAAACCAACCCTGTGATCCAGTGCTTTAACCCCCAGCACCACATTTATATTTTGGATGTAGTCTCCATATTGCCATTTACAATTGCCAGAAGGAGTAGTTTGGGGGTAATGTGGCAGGGAAGTGAGGAATCATTTTCATTGTGAATGCTGAATATGAGGAACCATACTGGGTTGGCAAGTGGAATTTTACCAGTTCTAAGTGTAGTGATTACGAATCAGGCTACCAACCGCCAGGTCAGCATTTCGAAGCTACCAGCTGTTCCGTGGGATAAAGGATGAGGCTTTCTGCTCCCATAAAGATTTACAGCCTCGGAAACTCTATACAGGGTCGCTATGAGTTGGAACCGACTCCACGGCACATCACCACCACCGTAATAATAAACTATGCAGGCTTCAATTAGACATGTTGAAATTCCTTAAGCAGGTTTTGTGGTAGCAATTCCTATACTCTGATAATAGATGAGGATTCGCTCCCCTATTCTTTCCCCTCCCACTCACTAAAAGGGCACATTTAATCTGGTGATTAAGTGATGGCTTTTCAAACAGTCTGATGTCTTGTTCTACCTGCTGTTCACTTATTAGTTGACTTTGAACTTGTTGGTGAATGCCACTACAGATTGTCTCCCTCTGAAGAAACGGAATAAGAAATACTCTTTTGAATTATTGCATGAGTTTTGAAACCCAAGACAGCATTTTCAAAGTCCTTTTGAATTGTTGCAAGCATCGTGTACCATCGAATATTATATTACTTTGCTTTCATAACTTCCAGCATTCCAATTATCCCTGCGTTACTGAATTTGGTACTAAAGTGCATACGCTTGTTTTCTAAAATGGAAATTAAAAAAAAAAAAAGAAAAAAAAGATAAAAGCTTATATTTGCCAAGCGAATTAAGTCAGGTATTTTAGCTAAATATGGAATGGAACTTATCCTGATTATAATTTTCTTCTTCTCTCCATATGCATATATATTTGTATTTGGAGACATGCATCCTGTTTTTGCTCTATTTCAGAATGCATTTTTCAGTAGATGTTGAAACCACTTACATTTTAATTTTCTGAAGTGGTTTCCTTGATGGATATTTTATTATAGGAAGCATAGGACATCCAAGTCAATGGGGCCAGAGACAAAAATGTGACTGTAGCTCTCTCTTTCAAGGTGACCTCCTTCTTCCCTAAGGGATCTCCCATATCCTAATGCTCACTGCCAAGGTACCCAAGGGTTCTTGGCCGCCACCTTCTTGAGAGACTTTTGTGTTAACATCATCAACCTCTAGTGCTTGCAAGTTTACCTGTGATGTTCACTTTAGTCATACTTTCTTGTGAAATGTTGACTACAAGACAGTGAGTTGGCCTGTGACAACGGCTTTAGTCATACTTGTTTGTTGAGTAATGGTTACTCAGGAGGCTCTGGTCTATATGACAAAATGGAAGAGGTGAAGAAAGCAAACCAGTTTTGGAACAAGGCCACACATCCTGGGTCCACTTCACTGTCATTAGTGGTTGGGGCTGCCCTGATTGATGTGCTGGAGACAGGCTCCCAAAAAGGCAACAAAAGAGGAAGTAGAACAGAATGTGTTGGGTTCTTACTAACAGGCAGGTATTGTGCTAACTATCCTGCATGTATATTATCTCATTTAATAAAAGAGTCCCTGTTATTAAATGCCATGGAGTTGGTTCCAACTCAGAACGACCCTTTATAGAGTTTCCAAGGTGCAACTTGAAGGTTTGAACTGCCGACCTTGTGTTTAGGGGTCCAATGTTTATCCTACAGCACTGCACCAGGACTCCAAGAGTTCCTAGGTGGTAGAAATAGTTAACATGTTTGGTTGCTAACTGAAAGCTTCAAGATTGGAATTCACCTAGAGGAGCCTTAAGAGAAAACCTGGCATTTTACATCCAAAAAAAATCAGCCATTTGTTTTGCTCTGGATGAGTTAAAATTAATTCGATGATAACTGGAAATGTAATAAAACAATGAGTTTTCTTTAAAATGTGCTTCAGATGAAACATTTCTAGAGAAAACAAAAAAGCTCTTCCTGTAGAGGTCCTGTTTCTCTGAATGTTTCTCCTGATGGTTCTTAGAAGATCCCCTTTCTTTTCTTTTTTCCTTTTTGTTTAAGCAAACAAGTTTTAGGACTGAACTGTATGTTTGATTTATTTTTAAAGTTCCAAGCAAAACCAAGACCCTTTAAGGGTCCTTTCTCTAAGGGGGAAAAAAAAATCCCCATTAAGTCAGAGAGATTTTGAAAACCAACTTTTTTTTTGGAATATTGAAATCGCTTGCACAGTACAAAATAAATGATGACAGCGATATTTTACTCCTGAAGGACATAAGCAGGCAAACATACTCAGAGATTGGAAACTTTTAGACCGCAGCATCCAATCTCTTGGGATTATTCATTTTTCTGTTCTGCATCTATGGAACTGGTTCAAGGAGTCCTGGTGGCACAGATGGTTAAGTACTCAGACGCTAACCCAAATGTCAGAGGTTCAAACTCACTTGGCCACTCTGTGGGAAACAGGTTTGGCAATCCACTTCAGTGAAGATTACCACCTAGGAAGCCCTGCGGGGCAGTTCTACTCCATCACATGGGGTGACTATGAGTCGAGAATCAACTTGAGGGCACCTAACAACTGTAACAGCACTCTGGAGTTTCTCCTCTTGGGCCTGGTCATCAAGGCTCAGAATAAAACAGATTTCTTTCTTGACTTGTGTTTGGGAAGACTCAGCTTGTCAGGCGCATGTGCAGCTCAGTTGCCTGCAGAAACGGCTGAACTTTGCACAGGCCGTGGGTGGTGAAGCACTTGTGTGTGCCTACCCTGCTGTTCAGCTTGGAGCCACCACTGGTTTCAATTATGACTTCAACAGGCAGCTTGGAGGGCTCCTCTATTCATTACAGTACCTCACACTCTATAATTAGTAATAAAGGAACACAGGCACTTCACAAATATAAAGGGCTAAACAATAATCAGGCAGTAAAGGCGATGCATTGGGACTTTCCACCTAATTCTTTCAAGTTAAAAAAAAAAGCAACTTTTTTTCACTATGTCATTTAATTTTTCTGCCTGAAATCCTCTGGGCTTGAATCTCACCCTAGCCAAACACCTGGCTGTGAATTTGGGCACTTTCCCCAACCTTTTGGTGGAAAATGGAGCTAATGAGATGTGGCATCTCCTAGGGGTGCTAGTGAGGATGGAATAAGTCTCATAGAGTGCTTTGTATGGAGCTCTGCTCAGGAAATCTTAGCTCTCATTATCATCATCATTTTAATCTGCAAATGAAATGAATGCATGGAGTTAAGACATAGACATAGGTCTTTCTGAAGCACTCTGGGATATTCAGCTAGAAAGAAACAGCAGGAGTTTTAAGGAAGGGTAAAGATTTTTCCTTCTCTCCATTTGTGTATATGACAATGCCTCTAGAGTGGTCTTTTGTTTTAGTCTTCTGTCACTTACAGTTTCAAACACTTAAGTGGAGAGATTGGTATAATGAATCATCCTACACCTACACTGACAACTATCAATATTTTATCAATCATCTTTCATATTTCCATCCCTCCTGTTTTCCTCCTGGAATATTTAAAAGCAAATCTTAAGCACTATGTCAGTTCACCCATAAATTTGAATGTCTTTAATACCAAGATCCCTGATAGGCTGAGAAATCCTTGGGACCCTGTCTTCTTCACCTTTGACAGCTTGTTAAACTCTATAGATGCTCATGTCCTTAATGAATGAGCAGCACAAACTTAGCTTTCCGCCACTTTTCAGTTGTTAAGTGCTGTTGAGTTGATTCTGACTCATAGTGACCCTGTATAGTGTTTCCCAGGAGTGACTGGTAGGTTTGAACCACTGATCTTGTGGTTAGCACCCTAGTGCTTATCCTACAGCTAATATTTGTTGAGTAAATAAATGAGGGCAGGAATTTTAGAGTGCTTGATGCATATGAAGATGTATGTATTTTAAGTCAACATTTAAAAAAATAATTGGATGAGATTTCTCAATACTTGATAGTACCACAAAACGATTTGAAATAGTTCAAATAAATAGAACTTGAAAGAAAGCTTAAATTCTGGTACTTAAATTATTTGTGAGTGTCTGACAATAGGTAAGTTCAGGAAAAATTAGCAGATTCTTCAAATAGATGACAAATCCTTTATTACTGTGCTTATAAGGGACACGGTTTACAGAAATCCAAATGTAATTAAATAACATTGAACTTGAAATCTACCACAGACTCAAGATATACAAGTTATACTTGGCAAGGCAAAACTTCTCAAACACTAGATTGTTTCAGGTGAAAGATAAATTGTTATTCAGTAATTCCAACATGTATTTTTAATTTTTTTTTGTGTGTGTGTCTTACAGACAATTCCTTTGGCAGTAACTTCCACTTAAGCTTTTATTATATAAAAATATAACAAAATTTCATTATATACAAACATTACATTACACAATGTACAGGTTAAAAACACTAAGAAAATGGCAAACCGCAAGTGAAATTAAAATCCATAGCATGATAAGAAAAATGAAATATTGCACACATTTCATAAAAATTACACTAACTACATTGTTTGTTTGCAAATACCAAACAGTACCAATATGATTGGAAATAGCTTCCAACTTCATTTTAAGGCACATCTTGCATATTTATATATACAACACTGAAACCAAGCCAGTTGATTAACTTAGGGGCTTCTCGGAGTGACCTGTATATGTGTGAAGACATGCAGTGTGGGATTACACATTTTCATTGCTCCCCTTCTTTGGGGACAGGTACCTTCCAGGGGGGGACTCGTAGAGGGGCACACTGATCTCCTGCAGGTCTGGGAGCCTCCCTGGGCGGGGAGGGGAGAGAAGGGTGACTGTCCTGTCATAGTCCCTGTGCAGAACTTTCTCATAGACGCTCTGCAGACCCACTGTCTTGGGCAGCTGGGCCTGGTAGTAATTGTCCCTGCGAAGGGGATCTCGCGGCAGGGACGTGCTCTTACAGAAGGTAGACATTTGGGCTGGTGGGTTAAGCGGGGGAGGTGCGTTGGGTCCCCCGCAGGAGGGACTCCAGCAGCGGTCAGAGTGGCCGAGGATCTTACACTCCGCGGTGCACGCCCATAGTCCTAATACAAAAACAAAGGGGAGAGAGCAGGATTATTACCAGGACAACACATACTTCCGCCTCCATCTTCCGAATGTTTGACAGGGTCAGGGCCGCTGCAAGGAAAAGCATGTCTGAAGGTGAACAATGTGCCTCAAGATTTGAAGGGCGCATCTCTCCCTGAAAAACGCCTTAAGAGGAAGCTGGCCCAGCATCTTCTGCTAGAAGCAAAACCAAAAAACAAAAACCCCAAATCCCTCTTTTTAGCTGGCTAGCACCACTCTTCTCCTCGGCCTGATTCCCGCCTAGGGTGGGAGCGTGCTTAGCTCAAATGGCAGAGCTGCTTCGACAGGACATTTTGAAATTCACTGTCTTGAGGCAGGCCTGTGAGCTGAAACACTAGAACTAGGGGTTGTGGGGAGAGAGGAGGAGTCTGGGAACCAAGACTGGAGGCAAGCCGGGAAGGTAAAGAACGCTGAATTTTGAGGGGAAGGAAGTACTCACCACTCTGCATGTGGTTGATGAGATCCTTTTTCAGAGCGTCCCCGCTGATGTCGGAATCACTGTCATTGAAATCACTGTCCCCCTTTCCGCTGTCTTTGCCGCTGAACTTCTCCGCTTCTCGGCCAGAGATGGTGTTGAATGAGTGCCCTTTCCAGACAGCCACAGGGGGCGCCGACTCTTTCCCAAAGCCGGGGGAGGCACCATAGGGCTGCAGGAGGAAATGGGTTGGGGTCGAGGGTCGAAAAAGCAACGAATAAAAAAAGTATGTTAGGTTAAGCGTCTCCAGCGCGCAGCCACCCCATCCCTTCTGTCCCTTCCCCCAGTCTGTCCGCGGAGCACCGAGAGGGGCGCCCAGCGGAAGGAAGGCCTCACCTCGGCGTGCGCGCCGCGGAGCCGCTGCTGCCCCTCGAAGTGACAGGCGCTTTCCCCCGTGGCGCTGCCGCCCTCCGAGCCCGGCACTTCGGCCGCAGCGACCGCGGGCGGGGGCGCGTCGGCGGCGGGGCTGCCAAAGGGCGCTTTGCCGCTGCCAGGGAAGGTGAGCACGTCGAACATGTTGGGTCTAGGCCCAGCTCCCCGGGCGGCCTCCTCCGGGGAGCCGGGAGCCGAAGCTCCGCCGCCCGCCGCCCCGGGCCGCTCTTCCCGGAGGGTCCCCCCTTTGCGCACCTCCTTCTTGCGGCGGTTGCAGGTGGTGGCGATGGCGATGATGGCGGCCAGCAGCAGCGTGCAGCTCCCAGCCAGCACGATGATGACGATCAGCGGCGTGTCCCACTGCAGCGTCGGCCCGGACGCCCCAAGCCGAGAGCCGGGCGGGCGAGAACGCTCCGTGCCCCCTGCACTGGCAGGTCCGTCGGCCCCGCGCCCGCCGCCTGCGGTTACCACGAAGCTGACGGTGGCGCTAGTGGAGAGAGGAGGGCGGCCGCCGTCGGACACTACTAGCAGCGCTCGGAACACGCGGCCTGGGGGCTCCTGTGAGAGGTCTCCGGTGAGCACGATCTCCCCCGTGCGGCGGCCGATGGCGAAGGCTTCGCGTGGCTCCTGCTGTAGCAGGTCGAAAGCTAGCTCACCGTTGGCGCCCTCGTCCGCGTCCCGGGCCTGTACACGCGCCACGGCCGAGTCCCTTGCTGTGCGTCCTGGGACTGCCACTTCCAGTGAGCCGTTGGCTGGTGCTGGATGCACCAGGACTGGCGCATGGTCGTTCTGATCCAGCACCCGCACTTGCACCAGGGCGCTGCTGGAAAGCTGAGGGGAGCCTCCGTCGCTCGCCTGGATGCGCACGTCGAGTTGGCGTAGCGCTTCATAGTCGAAACTGCGCAGAGCGTAGATGGCCCCGGTGGCTGGGTCCACCGAGACGTAGGTGGACACGGCGCCCCCGGCGCGGCCCACCTCGGCTTCTAACAGCCGGTATGTGACCTGGCCATTGCGGCCCAGGTCCGGGTCCCGGGCAACCACCGTGGCCAGGTAGGCGCCAGGCGGGTTGTTCTCGCGCACGGATACTTCATAGACAGGCCGCGTGAAGAGAGGAGCATTGTCGTTCTCGTCGCCTACGCGCACCGTGTAGGGTCGCACTGTGCGCAGCGGTGGCGCGCCGCGGTCCTCCGCCACCAGCGTCAGGTTGTACTCGGCGATTCGTTCGCGGTCCAGCGATGCCGCGGTCACCACCAGGTAGCTGCCTGCATAGGCCGGTTGGAGTCGGAAGTGCTCGTGCCCGTAGAGGGCGCAACGTACCTGCCCATTGGCGCCCGAGTCCCTGTCCGAGGTGCTGACCAGCGCCACGAGGCTCTCTCGCGCAGCCCCCTCCGGCACCAGCGAGGTGGCGCCGGTCTCAGGAGTCCCGGAACCCCCCGAAGAGGTCGCATCCGCACCCCCGAGAACAGCGGCTGCTGCTGCCGCTGCGAAGGGCGAGGTGGCGGGCGCGCCCGGGGCAGCCAGCGGGGTGATGGAGATGTCAGGCGCGTTGTCGTTGACGTCGCGGATGCGCACGATGACTTTGCAGGTGGCGGCGCGGGGCCCCGGGCCGCGGTCTTGAGCTCGGACGTCCAGTTCGTAGGTGTCCTGGCGCTCGTAGTCCACGGGCCCCGCCAGAGTGAGACGGCCCGAGCGCGGGTCGAGGCGGAAAAGGTGGCGTGCCTCGGGCGGGGTGCGGGCGCCGAAGGAGAACACCACGTCGCCGTTAGGGCCCTCGTCGGGGTCGGCCGCGTCCAGGTCCAGCAGCAGTGAGCCCACTGGCGCGTCCTCCGCCAGCTCCACCTCGGCCACAGCGCCCTGCGGGAAGGCCGGGCTGTGGTCGTTGGCGTCCAGCACGCGCACGCTGAGGGCGGCTGTGGCGGAGCGCGGCGGGCGGCCGCCGTCCTGGGCCACCAGCTCCAGACTGTAGGTGGCCTGGCTCTCGCGGTCCAGCTCCTGCAGCAGCACTAGGTCCGCACACTGGGCGCCGTCAGCGCGCGTCTGCAGCTCTACGCGGAATGGGCTGTGAGGTTCCGCCAGGCGCACGCTCTGCAGCCCGTTGGCTCCCACGTCCTCGTCCACTGGCACCTCCAGGGGGATACGCGTGCCTACGGTGGCGCCCTCAGACACTTCCACCGGGATCTGGGTTCGAGGAAAGCGCGGCGCGTGGTCGTTGACGTCCCTCACCTCCACCTCCACGTGCACTAGCCGAAACTGCTCTTGTGAGAAGCTGACAACATCGAAGGCCAGCACGCACTGCGGGGCCCGGCCGCACAACCGCTCGCGATCCAGGCCTGCGTCCCCGACGGTCAGCTGCCCGTCGCCTTCGCGCACCTGGATTAGCGAGTTGTTGAACTGCTTCATCAGGCGGAAGCTTGTGTCTCCGGACACTTTCATATGCAGGTCTTCTGCCAGGGTCCCAATGACCGTACCTGGAGCGTCCTCTTCGAAGGTGCTGTATCTCACTGTCTTGCTCTGGGCCACTGAGAAGACCCAGCAGAGACTGAAGAGCTGCAAGGGGAAAAGACAGGGGACCCCTCGCTTCCGAGGACTCATACCGCCGGCCCCAACTGCTATTCCAAAAAGCCTGAGCAAGAGTTTATAGGCTTGTAGGTCTGGGCCTGAGTCCTAGGCGCCTTGGAAAATGCTCTTCGCTAGCCCTGTGCGAGAGAAGTCTGCCGGCTGCAGCTCCACGGCTCTGGCGGGCTCTGAGGACTCGCGGACCCGCCCTCACTCAGTGCCTCTCCCTCCCTTCTCCTCTCAGGAGCAGCGCTGCCGCGCGCCGCCTCTGCCTTTATAGCCTCCGATATGCAAATCGCCGGAGACCAGCAACCAATGGCTGCCTCGCTCTGGCACCGCTTCTCTGCCAGCATCCGACAGTCTCTTTAATGTGTAAAGGCTTAGAGGGAGAAAACAAGACAGGAAAATTAGGGAATCTTTCCTTTGTTTCTTTAACTCCTTTTGCTTTCTCCCCTCTTTCCTGTCAGCGCCCAGCAAGCTGAAGAATTGGCACCCGGCACTGGGAGTAAATGAGATGGATGGTACCCCTCCGGTACCGACTGCTTGGACTAGGTGTGAAAATCCTGGGGTTTCGCCACAGTAAGCTCCGGCCCCCTCCTCTGCTCTACATTTTGCACAGTTAAGGCTTCCAAACACTCACAGCCCCATCTCTACTGACACTGTTCTGCCGGGCAAGCCTCTGCTCTCCTTCCCTTTCCAGCTTCCCACAGAGCCTGGACTAGCCTCTCGATTAAGGATCCTGAAGGATAAAGAGAAATTGATTTTATTCAAATTTGTGTATGCAATTGTGTTTTGCTTCGTGTGAGCCTCGGTGATCAGAGCTGCCATTTGCTTTTCAGCAAAGAGCCCGGAGATGTGTTAGTATGCATGTCACTGTCCAAATGGCTTTCTTAAGCCCAGAGCGCTAGCAAACAAGAGGGGGAAAAGTTCCAAATAGGATTTAGCATAAGCTTGAGGAGATTTGGAAAGGTTTCAAAGATCAGACTGTATCAAAGGCTTACGAAGCCCTCGTTAGCAGTGGAAATAGAATGGCGTGGCAGGCGATCCCATTGGAGGCCCCAATGTCTGTATTATTTCACTGTGACAAGCTAAGGGGAGAGAAAGTTGAACAGTTTCCACAGTAGAGTTGGGCTAAGTTGAATATAATGAGCAAACGCCACATGTATCCATTCTGTTCCTCTATTCATCCCCTATCACTGCCATAACTCTCTGGCTAAACGATGATTGGGCGCTGAATTTCACACAATACCCGGCTCCTATTAAAGTGCATTTAGAGAACTTTCCCTCTTCATGCCCTGTTCCGCCTATTTAGAGGATTTTCTTTCTGTTCTAATAGGGCCGCTTTGGGAAACAACACTTGTGTGGTTCCAGAAGAACAAAATCACAGCATGAGGTTGAAACCTGGCACGAACCTGGGATAACTAAACCATCTGCCTACCAAAGTGTGGAGCTTCAGCACTGCCAAGCCCTGGATTGGGTGGGTACCAGGGCTGACCGACACTGCGCTACCCCACAAGTGCTCCCGCTTCTCCCACCTTGAAGGCAAGAGAGACAGCTCCAGTCCATAACAAGATGGATTCGTACTGATTCCTTACTGCTGGGCTTTATTGAGTAGCTAGCTATGCAAATACATACAAAGGAGAAGAAATAAGGCGAAAGTGTTGTGGGTAAACGTCATTTTGAATCCTGATTTCAGTTCCGCTGCCAGTGACCTATGTTGTTTTCCTTTCACTTAAACCTGGGGGGATGTGCTTCCAGAGTAGCACCCCCCAGAGCAAGGAGATCAATCAAGGAGCAGTAGGGCGGTAGGGTGTAGTTTTCGGAGAGCAGAGGATAGAACCCCAGTCATCAATAAACAAAAGCTCCTAAGTGATTGGGAAGTGGGGTGATAGATGGCTTGGGGCTTCTTAAAGTGGTCTTGCCTCTTGGTTCCCTTTTCCTCCTCCTCCACCTTGAAGTCTGCGGATTGCATCTACAGTGGCAAGGGAATGTGGAAAGGAAGACACGATTTTCCATCCCCCAAAGCCCAATTTCCAACCTTCTCTTCAACTTTTTTCCCAATCAAATGCCATTTCTTGCCCCCACCCAATATTCCTCGGGGATCTGCAGCCGAAAGATTATTCTACTTCCCTTCCAAGCCCCGAACACCTGCTGGTGGCCTTTGGAGCTTCCAGGGCCCCACCCTCCCTCCTCACTCCCTCTCATTGGCGACGCAAATGGAGCCAGATTCAGTACTCTGCAGGTGGACAGCGGCCTTCACGCTTCTGGCTCCCTTAACCCTACTAGATCCTCTGGCGCTGCGCTGCGCTCATGGGCCGAGAACGCGTCGGGGTGCAAGTGGGGCTTGCGTGGTAGCTGAGGGCTTGCCGCCAGAATTGCAGCGAAAAGGTGACTTAGTTGATTCCTTGAGCAGACAACATCTTGGAGGCGGGCCACGAGTGGCTGGGAGGCCGATCCCATGACCTGAGTCCCTGCGCCCTGGCTCTCTCCATTTTTGTGTGCTGGCGCCTAGCGGTTTTGGGCTAGGCCGCACCACAGGACCCTGGCTCCGGCTGGGTTTATCCTTTTTTTTTTTTTTTTGCAGGAGTATCAGAACTACCTATTAATCCCCCAAAACGCTACCACTTTAAGTGGCATTAGCACTTTAAGTGGCAAGGCTGAAATAACGAAGGCGTGCTTGGCGGGGGGGTGGAAAAAGGGAAGAGCGGGGAAGCAGGCAAAAGCCGCGGGGCGGGAGGAGGGGCGTGAGACGGCAGTGAAGGCTGGGAGCCGGCCCGCTGTATTTTATCAGCTGCCAGGTTCTGGGTCGCTCGGAAGTGGCCTCGCCAGCGGCGGCGCCTGGCAGCTCAGAGACCGGAGCGCAGAGACCAGGCGCGCACAGGCCTTTACGAGCGGCCGCGGAGGTGTGAAGGCACGCGAGCCGAGTGAGTTTAGAGCCCTGCAGCCCCTAGCCGCGGGATTATGAAAATACGTTTTAAAATAGTGCATCCGTGGGTACAGCAACACCCCGGAGAGGAAAAATGTCCGGTAAGAGGTGGCGGTGAAGGGGAGTAGGGGAAGGGAGAGGGACTAGCCCGCCCCAGAGATGATCTAGCCTCACAAAAGGCCCTCCAATCGCCTTGTTATCATACCAAAAGGCCGAGGCCAGCTCAAAGGAGTCCCTTTCTCTCGGGTTTAGCAACTTCGCCGGCAACTGTCTGGAGATCTTGAGAACAAACGCGGCCCGACAATGGCCGGCGTTTTCTCGGCATGCAAATGGTGCGGGCTCCCCAAAGCTGCTCTTCTGTTACCGAGCCTAATGCCAGCTTTGTGGAACTCGCGTGCAGACCCGTGATTGACACGAGCGTCACGTGACGGATTAGGGCTCCAGGGAAGTTTTCAAAGCAGCGACAATGGAGGGGGGTGGGTGGGAGAACTCAGCTTGATCGGCTATCTCCCACAGTTTAGCGGGAAGAAAATCAGGATATATTCTCATATGTAATAGGATTATCTTTTCCATTTCAAGTTCTTTACAGCATGTAATTTATTTTTTAATTAGGATTATATCTACCAGGAAAGAGAACTAGACATAGTTGGAAAGTGTAATTCTAAGGATGGATTGAGAGAGGTTATTTCTTAACCGTTTAACTTTTTTATTTTTTAAAGCTCAGGGTCTATGACTTTCCCTACAGGCTCACTCCATCAAGTGCTCAGGCAAACCGAGACAGTTCTTCAGGCACAAATAAAAACCACACTTTGCAGAACAGCTCTTAGAATTCCTGAGTTGCTGGATTTAACTAGGTTTGGCTCTCTAGAAATGGCAAGCAAGCTGTTATCTACATTTCAAAGCTTTACTTTAATTGTTTTTTAAGGTCAATATTGGCAAAATTACTTTTACAGACTTTATACTGAACCACAGAACAGCATCCTCCATAGCCCTGATTCGAACTCAGTGTCATAATAAAGACAGTTTTGAGGCGAAGGTTACTGTTGTTTAAACAATGATTTTTGAATTGGTGCTGAAGCCATTTTTGGCATATTAAGGAGCTCTGGTAGCGTAGTGGTTACGAATCGGGCTGCGAACCGCAAGGTCAGCAGTTGGAAACTACCAGCTGCTCTGCGGGAGAAAGATAAGGCTTTCTGCTCCCGTAAAGATTTACAGCCTTGGAAACCCTGTTCAGGGTTGCTATGGGTCGGAACCGACTTGACGGCACTTAACAACAACAACAACAAGGTTACATAGCAACATCCTACTTTCAGATAGTTCGGAAAGCCTGTAACAATGAAAACTGAAAAAATAAATGCATTCTACTTATGTCAAAATCTGACACAGTCATTGGAAGAGAACCCTGGGTTTTAAGTCAAGGCTGCCTGTATAGGGAAGAAACATCACAGACCTTATAATCCAAACTCTTTACTTCACAGGTAAGGAATTTGTTGAGAATGATAACAACAAAACAAAACAGCATTATTGTTTCCTTCAGTAAAAATTACCCTCTGTTCTCATTCCTCCCCAGACATGATGCTGTTGTTAGGTGCCTTCCAATCCATTCTGACTTATAGTGACATTATGCACAACAGAACAAAACACTGCCCTGTCCTGACCCATCTTCATCCTCCTTGTTAAGCTTGAACCCATTGCTGCTGTCACTGTGCCAGTCCGTCCTGTTGGGCTCTTCCTTTTTTTCGCTCATGCTCCACTTTACCTAGCATGATATCCTTCTCCAGGGACTGGCCCCTCCAAATATGTCCGAAGTATGAGAGATGAAATCTTGCCATTCTGGCTTCTAAGGAGCATTCTAGTTGTACTTCTTCCAACACAGATTTTTCTGTTCTTCTAGCAGTACATTATACTTTTAATATTTTTCTCCAACATCATAATTTACAATCATCAATTCTTCTACAGTCTTGCTCATTCACTGTACAACTTTCACATGCATATGAGGCTATTGGAAATGCCAAGGCTTAGGTCAGACCCACTTTAGTCCTCAGACTGACATCTTTGCTCTTGGACACTTTAAAGAGGTCTTGTGTAGAACATTTGCATAATGCAATAGGTCATTTCATTCCTTGACTGCTGCTTTCATGAGTGTTGAAGGTGGATGCAAGCAAAATGATGTCTTTGACAGATTCAGTCTTTTCTTTATTTGTTGTTGTTGTTGTTATGTGCCGTGGAGTCGGTTCTGACCCATAGCGACCCTGTACAGGGTTTCCGAGGCTGTTTACCATGATGTTATTTATTGTTCTAGTGATGA